CAAAAAATAGTTATTCTTTACTCTGATCTTGCTATCATACCCCCCTATTAATTTATTAGCAAGTTTTCTTAGCTCTACTTTTACATTATATTCTGAGTCCAGCCATATCTCAGCCTCTTGTACTGTTCACATCCTGGCCTAAGCTGGAGTCCTCTCAAACCAGGTCTACTACTTCCTAACTGGCACCCCTGCCTCTTCTTCTTGTCTTCTCATTGTCTGTTTTCTGTTTTGTGCATAGCAGCCAGAGTGATCTTTGAAAAACCCAATTAGATCATAACATTTCCTTGCTTCCAAAGTCTGTGATTATTTATATTCAGAAAAATCCAAATTTCTTACCAAAGCCTTAAGACGCTCTAGAATCTGGTTTCTGTTCACTGTTGTGCCCTTATGACTTGCAACTCATGCTCTTGCTCAATCTTCTTTAGCCATGCCATGCCAGTTGTCTTGCTGTTACTTGACCTTGACATGCTTCTTTCTACTTTCTCTTTTTTTCTGCCTGGCACACTTTTTATGCATGTGGCAAAACTTACTTTTAAGTCTCTGCTGAAATATATCTTTCTTACATAACCATATCTAAAGTGGCTTCATAAGAGCAGTGTCTTTTCTTTTTTGGGATAGAGTTATACTTTGTCGCCCTCGGTAGAGTGCCATGGTGTCATAGCTCACAGCAACCTCAAACTCTTGGGCTGAAGTGATCCTCTTGCCTCAGCCACCCAAGTAGCTGTGACTATAGTTACTCACTACAACTCCTGGCTATTTTTTTTAGAGATGAGGTCTCATTCTTGGGCTCAGGCTGGTCTCAAACTCCTAAGCCTTAGCCTCCCATACTGTTAGGATTACAGGTGTGAGCTACCGTGCCTGGCCAGCAGCAGAATCTTAACAATGTTCTTTTACCAATTTAGTTTTCTTCAACACATCTATTACTTGCTAACATTATTTCATTTGTTTGTTTTTTATTGAATTGTCTCACTCCCCCACTAGAATGTAAGCTCCATGAAACCAGGACACTTAGTCATCTTCACCACTATATTCCAAGCCCATAGGGTAATGCATAATTAATTAGCACATTATAGCCACTCATATATTTATTGAATGACTGAGTGACAGATAGTTCCCATGCCTGGAAGTCAGTATTTAGTAAAATTTCACCAAGTGATTCTGGTCATTTGCTCTACCTTGATGTGAGCCAGTGATCTATAGGAATAATAGAAATCCATCTTAGTTCAGGGCCTGAGGTTAAAGAAATAAAAACTAAATAAAAACTGATAGAAATCACTGCTTATGATACTGAACCTGCGGTCCTTCACATCGGCTCTGCTGTCACTGATCTTACCTAGAATGAGTCCTCCTAAAGAGTTAATAGAACCAGCTTATATTCTCTATAGCCTCTGTAGTTTGGTTCCCCATTGGTTGAAGATGGGGTAGTTTTGGTGGCAGAAGAGGGAGAATATGCACTGGATTCTTCTTCCATATATCCTTTTTGTTGATCCCTCTTAGGTTTCTTATGTAGTCTCTACTTTGTGTATCTACCTATAAATAGAATATAGTATAACTATCATTCTGGATCTTAAAGTCTATTCATTTAACCATTTGGGGCAACAAAGTGTAACAGTGTCCTTTGTTTTTCCTGAAATAGTTTGGAATTTGTAGACCAATTCATTGTTAAATTGCCAGTCCTTGACCTCATTTTGTACATTTCACAGCATTATTTGTACTTCCCAAACCAAAAGTGATCTCCTGTCTAGAGCAAGGGGAAGACCCATGGGTTCAAGTATCTCTGGAGTTTAAGGACAGTGCTGGAGAGTCTTCTACAGGTAAATACACTATGGGAAGGCTCGGTGCCTATGGCTCAAGTGGCTAAGGCACCAGCTACATAGACCTAAGGTGGTGGGTTCGAATCCAGCCTGGCCCCGCCAAAAACAACAATGATGGCTGCAGCCTGTAGTCTCCGCAACTTGGGAGGCAGAGGCAGGAGACTCGCTTGAGCCAAGGAGTTGGAGGTTGCTGTGAGCTGTGATGCCATGGCACTCTACCCAGGGGGATAGCTTGAGGCTCTGTCTCAAAAAAAACAAAAACAAAAACAACACTATGGGAAGAAGAGAAATGTGCCTTGATAGGAATACTTACAAGGGCTTAACATTTTAAGATTCTGCTCTTCAGTTTTAATATTGAATTTTTCTTTTCATTCTTGAGATTTTCTTCCTCTGGGATACCATGATAATAGCTGATTCTTATATTTATTTCAGTAGGGTTGATGCTCCAAAATGACACTGAAAATCATCAGCCTATGTCTCTTTCTGACTTGGTAACACCAGCACCAGGAGACATAGTATCAAAAAAGGCCAAAATGAAAGTTCCCCCGAAAACAACAGGCAAAGAAAATCATGGTGATATGCAGAGAGTGGGGAAAAGGCACCGAGATTTCCCAGTGAAGAAAAGAAAGAAACTTTCAACTTGGAAACAAGAGCTGCTGAAACTTATGGATCTTCACAAGAAAGGCTGTACAGGAGAGAAGCCTTTTAAATGTCAGGAATGTGGGAAAACCTTCAGAGTTAGCTCTGATCTTATTAAGCACCAAAGAATTCACACTGAAGAGAAACCCTTTAAATGTCAACAATGTGACAAGAGGTTTAGATGGAGTTCAGATCTTAATAAGCACTTAACAACACACCAAGGAATAAAACCGTATAAATGCTCATGGTGTGGGAAAAGCTTTAGTCAAAATACAAATCTACACACACACCAAAGAACTCATACGGGAGAGAAGCCCTTTACATGTCACGAATGTGGGAAAAAATTTAGTCAGAACTCCCACCTTATTAAACACCGAAGAACTCACACAGGGGAACAGCCTTACACCTGTAACATATGCAGAAGAAACTTCAGCAGGCGGTCAAGCCTTCTTAGACACCAGAAACTTCACTTGTGAAGGGAAGTTTGTTCAGTGTCCTCATTCTGAAGAAATTTACCAAATGTAGCTGAATACTAAAGTTTATGAAAAAATAAAAAATTAGGAAGCCTGAGGAATTTTTCATTGTTGGAAAATTTGGGAGCGTAAGCATTGTTTCTCTTTTTGGACAGAGTCGTATTTTGCCACCCTCAGTAGAGTGTCATGGTGTCATAGCTCACAGCAACCTCAAAACTCTTGAGTTCAAGTGATCCTCTTCCCTCAGCCTCCCAAGTAGTTGGGACTATAGCTGCCCACCACAACGCCTGGTTATTTTTTAGAGAAGGGCTCTTGCTTAGTCTAGTCTCAAAATCCTGAGTGCAGGTGACCCACCGCCTCTGCCTCACAGAGTGTTATGATTACAGGTGTGTGCCACTGCACATGGCCTTACACATCCTGTTTCATAGAAAGGAATCAAGATTGGCTCTACATTAGTAGTTTC